AACTAAGGAAAACCACTGGAAACCGCAGTCAGGACAGCACGTGACCTGCCCGAGAGTCGAGCCCAGCATCCCCAGAATACAATTTGGGAGCGTTAATACTGGCCCACCCTTTTCGGTTTGACACGTCACTTCGATCGAAGTCATTACCCGGAGACGCGACTTGTGCACAAAGTCCTGTTGCAGAGGTTATGGTTCACAACTTGGGTGCAGATCCCTTTGCGTCTCCAGTAGCCATGAGTGTCGCAGTATTCGAACAGGTCGTGACGGCGGTGGTTCATTAGAAACTCTGCAATGAACTGAGAGGTGTGACTGGGGTGAGATGTACGGGAATACAAAGAGGATTGCCTTAAGATTCTGACGGTGTTCTCCAGAGCGCTCGATTGAACCCGGGCGAACTACGAACAATTTAATATTGCAAGCTCTGATGAAATGGGACGCCTCGCGCGCACCCCTCCCCCTCCCGTCCTTCGCTGGTTTCTCTTACTGAGAGCACGTTTGCACTGTCGTTAGGCAGCATCGCCTGCCCATAGCTTCAAGACCGGTTCTGGGGCCCATTCAAGTCTCTCCTATATGATGTGTACCAGGGGCTGTTTCCGCGGGGTTAAAGCGGCAGAGTGGCAAAACTAACCACTTATCTTCATCTAATGCCGGGGACAAGAATGATGGAGTTATGCCTCCACTTCCCCACACGTCAGCATGGCATTGTACTTAATACATAAAACACAGAAACAACTTTACCCATTAAACATTAATATTTTCGTTTGTTACATGAGTAAACAGTGAAGAAAATTAAGTAACATAATAAATGATTGTCCAGAAAGAGGAAGGGGTGTGTGGCTATAGACGAGTTATGGATTGGGGAATCGATTTAGTGACCACTTATACGCACAACTTGGAGCTACAAGTTATTACAATGCTATCGCTGATCTCCATAATTCACAAATGATTGCTGCAAAACTAAGTCTTCTCCTGTCCTCATGTCTTCAACAGCCGTTTCCTGGTAAGGGATGTTAGTAGTGGAGATTTTTCAGCTTCCCGCACACAGGTCCTTCCTGTCCGGCGGACATCCCGCAACTGAACTCTCTCAAATCGACCTGGGGTCCTCGTTATGTAGCCTCATGGCGTACCAAACAGAAAACACCGCCTCGAACAGTTTTTTCTTTATTGTGGGCGGTTGCCTAGCGATAGCTCGGATATCGTTGACGTGTTTACCGGCCGTTACCAAGCAACACACGTTCCTTCTCTCGATCGTCTCATAGCGACGGTACTACATGCTACGATATGATTTAAAATGGTCACTTAGAAACAGAAAGTAAAGCGAATAATAATGTTGTGCACGTGGATATCGACCCAAAGACGGTGAACCCCGCACGGTGCGTGTAGATCAGTGCCTTGTCTCATCCTATCCACGCTGACAACCCCAAACAGCAGGTCGGTTCGCGTATGTCACATCGGGGCTGAATTTGATTTGATGTTCACCCCACAAGGAGGGGTGTTTGCACACCGTGGCGCCTTTCCATTTACCCTTCTGGTCTCTGTTTCGAATTGTTTCGCTTTTTCTTCGCATTTCAGATTCAGTTAACACTTGTGGAACTCGGATTTGCATATACGCGGTTTGCCAAACGTTCTGTAGCCCTGTACATCTAACACTCTCTCTCTAGTGTTTCGTCCGGCACTCCCTCGTCGCCCGTTGCCCGAGACTCGCTGATGTTGCTTCAGCGTTCAGTTAAGTCAAGTAGCTTTTGATCGGTTTTTCCATTTTCCCCTCCTGTTTCGTGATTATTTTTCCATGTGTTAATGGCTATATTGTATTTTAGCCTACTTTTCTTATTTTGAAAGAATAAAACAAGCTATGGGACGAACTAATCGCCTACGTTCCTTTAATACGACACGGACCATATAGAAAAAGACGCGTTCAACAGTTCTAATATCAGTATGTTTACCGGGCCGTTGCATAGGAACGGTAGGGTGAAATACACATACAGGCGCGCTTTTCTCTGATACGACACGGGCCGCATAGAAAACGACACGTCCAACAGTTACATTGTTGCGATTCTGCGATGAGTCCCAAAAAACTCTAACCCAAGAAAGACTGTGCTGGCAAGGGCCAGCAGCATATACAAAAGACAGATCCGTTCTCTCATCAGAGAGGGCGCACCACAAGAAGAAGACCGTAACTGTCAAACAGTGGGGCTCGACACCATCATTGACTGACTGACTGACTGACTGACCGACCGACCGTCAGTCGCAATGTGACTTCAAATATTACAACAAATACACGCAACAGCATGAGAACTATTTGATGCGCCGTTTTCTTTGTGGTCCGTGTCGTGTCAGATGAAAGTAGGCCATTAGTTCTTCCTAGAACTTCATGTTTTTATTCCTATGGCGTGTTGGTATGGACATTCATTTATGTGTGCATGCATGAAGTCTACATATGTAGGCATAAATGGGAGACTTGGGCGGCCGCGGTCACGTATCCACGTTTAATCCATAAGGTATTAATTTCGTCCAACGCGGATTTATCTAACGCGCCTTCTGCACAGTGATCGCTGTGCAGGCGTTAATATTCTTGAATAGTACAGTATTTTATATGACGCCATCTAATCTGGTAGAATTTTATATTTTAGGAGGAACTTAATGCTTCCATCTTCAGTGCCCAAGATGTAAGTAAGAAACCAAGGGGAAAAGCCGCAGTCTTCGTGGCTGTCACGGCGTCACATCTCAAAAAAGATAGTAGTCCTCGTAATCAAGCCTGTGGAAAACATCAAATCCTATTTATCTTCATCTATTTGACGATATTTATCATTGTGTGGTGTGTAGTATGGTCTGTTCTGCAAGAGAACGTTTAAGAATATGCGAGTTATGATCGGTTGCAATAGAGATCGCATTAGCATCTCGAAGCATCTCCCGTCCTGTAGAGTAACAACCGGATCGTTACTTTGGATGAGATGGGTTGTGAAGCGACGTCATGCAAATTGAGCGCCCCCACCAGCAGTCAAAATGTCATTTTGCAGCGTCTCATATACCCAGACGCTTGCCGTCTCTTGAGGAAATGTTCTGTTACGTCTCTCAAGCGGTATTTTTTTGCTAGGCGCCGTTCCTAACAATGCCACTTGGTATCCTTGCAATGTCTGTCTGTACTCTTCTCCGTCTCTATTCATGTAGTAGCAATTTCACTCAGCACTAAATTGTGAGTGATGTTTGATTTCAGGTTCTGAAAGCAGTGACTGTAAAATTCACTATCTTTTGAGATGTGATACTGTTTAGTATGGTCGATTTTTACTGACGTTTTGAACGAACGTATTGCTCCCATTTTCTCTACAAACTTCCTTTTTCATTTTGGTTCATATTGTGACGCATTTTCCCATTGTTAGGCAACGGCTCGATAAACAGATTCCCGAAGCATACGCATTCAACAATAGAAGGACATCAATTGCTAGTAAACTGGCAAACCAACACGCATTCTTGACAATAGAATACAGTGTTTTCCGGGGTCCGTGCCGAGGAGTTAACTTGGTGGTGGTCAAGCTTACGACCGTTCCTTTGACTAAATGCTCTCCACCGTGACCCTGCGAGTCGTAGGAGGCGACGAAAAGGGAAGTCTTAATTCTGAGACAGTCAAATATGGTCGCGAGTCCCAAGGGACTCGGACCCGAGTAAGACTGCGCTGGCAAGAGCCAGCAGCATATACGCGTCCTCTCGTCAGAGAAGACGCCCCACAGAAACAAGACTGTAACTGTCAAACGATAATAATTAATATCTGGTCATGAGCCCCAAATGGGGCTCGACACCAAGACTTACTGACTGACTGACCGTCAGTCACAATGTGACTTAGACCGTTCAACTCACTAAACTGCTGTTGTAGCATAAGATATGTAAGATGGGCATTTTGTGCTCTGTAAAGCCTATACTGACAGAGGACTTGTGTATAGTGCAAAAGGAAGAATTTTCAGTAACATGTTATGTGCGAAATTATTATTATTATCATTTAACTGCAAATGGGTTTTCACCCGGTGGCAGTGGTACTACGGTAAGATAACAGACAGACAACACGCATGCTACAATAAGACAATGTTACGTAAGGACTATTATCGTAAAAGTTCAGTTACGAAAATAAATCTCTGGTCGTGGGTCTCAAGGGACTTGACGCCATGACGAACTAATTGCCTGGAAACCTCCAGTCGTAATCTTGACTTTGACTTAATAAGAAGTTGAGTTAGTTGAGGGTACAGCTTTGGAGTGCTAACCAGCGGGCAACGGAAGCGGAAGCATCTCCATTGCTAAGCTTCGTTACCAGAAAACGTCTAGTGAAGACACGGCAGAGGAACAGCCATTGTGAAGAGCCGTTACCAAGTAACGACTAGTGAAAGCAGGCTGGAGAAGATTTGGTGTGGATATAGGGATAGTGATATAGTTATTTCTAGTTACGGCCTGTAAATGGTTAATAAATCTATTCACCAATCCAAACCCCGTCTATAGTCACTAATACACGTGACAGTATCTTAAGACTCCTGTTTACCTGCTCTCCAGGTTCTGCTGTTTGTGCAATTTGTATTTTATGTACTTTTGGCGAGAGCCAGTTCCTCATGTTCGTGAGGTGCAGGCTGCTTAGGGCAGTTCTGACGGGTTTTTTTATTGCTGGTGGAGTGGGACTAAGTCCCTTGTACTGCGGCCACTTCTGGCCTATTGTACCAGCCCCAGATGATAAGTGAAGGTGATTGTGGAGGAATTGGTGGAATGAAGATTGGCAGGGGAAACCGAAGTACTCGGAGAAAACCTGCCCCAGCGCCACTTTGTCCACCATAAATCCCACTTGACCACACCCCCGGGATCGAACCCGGGCCACCGCTGTGGGAAGCCAGCGACTAAGCGCTTGAGCTATGGCGCGGCCTTGCTATAGGTAAATGCATCTCTTCTGCTAGAAGACGATAGGATTCATGACACGTGCTGGCACGCATTTGACGGATTTTCAGTAACGGTCTGTGTTTGTGTTGCAGGTATGCACAACTGTGGTGTCGCAGTAACTTCAGGGTGGTTCTTGCTTCCTTATCCAATACGTCTTTTGTAAGTATTTTGAAAGCATTTTATTGTCTTGCGCCCATATTTATTGTATTTCATCCTCTTTATTTTAATTATCCGTTGTTTTGGAAGCGTTGTAGAGCGTTGAATGATAGAATTACGGATGAATGATGAATTGGAAAGGATTTGAAAGGATTCGGTCTTGGCATAATTGGTATAGTGTCCCGTCAGTTTACCTCGAGCGACTGAGGAAAATGATGATAAATCTCATTGAGGTTGGACGATGTCCATAGCATAGGTTCGAACCTAGCAGCTTCCGAGAACTAGTATCTATAGTTACCGCTACGACAACCTGCTCGGCTAGAAAATATAATTCACCAGTTTTATATTTATGTGTTGTTGTTATTGGAGAGGGTGGGTTTCCCCATGCACTTAGACCAGATATTGGTGTTTTACGTGCCGTAAGCTACGACACGGGACCCACGGCTTGAAGTCCCTCCCGGAGGACTTGTTCCCTGAATTTTTCCGCCCTTAAAAATTCCACGACCTCCGCCGGGTTTGAACCCACGTACCTTGAGTCACGAGGTGGGAACGTTGCCCCTAGACTACGGAGGCCGCTATATTTATGTGTTACTTCTTTATTTCTTAACAGTTCGTTACTGGTGTCCAATCTGTAAAAACATATTTTACGGAAATATTTTTATTTGGCTATTCTGTGTAGTCGATGATAGGTTGATTAATGAGTGTGGAGCAGTTGGTGGAATGACAATTGGCAAGGGAAAACGAAGTACTCGAAGAAAACTCGCCCGAGTGCTACTTTGCCCGCCAGAACATTATGAGTTTAACTAAAATTATGAATATTGTCAGGTGACTGAATGATTATATACGGAGTTTGGATTCGTAATTGGATTTATTGAACTGAGGACGCAACTACAGCGCTATCGCTAATTCACACATTCTACACTTCGCTATAGCACATACGAACTTTTTTCTGTCTGCTGTATCTTCACCGGTTGTCGCCTGGTAACGGCTTCCAACGCTTCAGTTTCTGTGTCCAAGTCCTTACTGGCTGGCAGCTGTCTCACAACCAACTTCTACTCTTCTAACTGCCTTCTCAAGACTATCTCATAAGTCAAAGTCAGAGTTACTTTACGACTGGCTGTTTACTGCCAATCAGTTCGTCTTGATGCCAGGCCCTTTGAGACCCATGACCAGAGACTTTTTTCCCCAACTGAACTCTTGCGATAATTTTCATAATGTAATGTCCTCTCTGACTAGAAGATGGGTTTGTCTTATGAATTCGCTTGGCCTTTCGCCAAGTGTGCATTTCGCGCATATAGCGTGTTATTGAAAATTCATAATCTCATAATCGCAGCTTTTCATCGTTAGGTATGCTCGGCACGTACCGTATAGAAAACACTTCCCAACATTTCTATTGTTGCGTCACGTAGCTATGGCACGGACCGGGTAGGGAACACTGATTCGCACTTATTCCATTTCTGAATGTTACGAATCTGTTGCCTAGTAACGGACGTCTTTGCAGAGGCGTTCCCTTGCGACGTATGTCTCTTCTGGCTTCATAGTTTTTGCCTTGAGCAAACATGGCACAGTATATAAAGTTGTTATGTAGATTATATTTCAAAATAAATCATTGATACTTTAGTGCCTGTAGCTTACTGTGGTGGTAATCAGTTACTGCAGTTACTTCACTGCTATGGTTGCTGGATTTTCGACGGAAATGGAGAATTACGCTTGATTTGTAGGTTCTATTACTATTTTAATTCAGTGTAAGTCCAAGTAATAGGACATTGTGTGATACCCGGGTATCCACTTGTTCGTAATTCTCTCACTATAACCTCTTGGAGGTTAGCCATGGTCCACAGCCTTCTCTTATGGTCTGTGCAGAAGATCTCTGAGAGTACGTCATAGCTTCAGTAGGCAACTTTGCTGCAGAAAAGTCCAATGTACTGAACCAGGTCTCTGATATGGCGATTGCATTTCCTGCTGATTACTAAATGATGACGTAATGCTCTGCCTCACTATCTACTGACGACGCGATGTGGAAAATGTTTCAGGCAGGGTATAGTGGTGCATGGGTGGCGTCCTGAAATGTTTGTGAAACAGGTAGTAGTGCAGAAGTGTGTGCCTATGTTACCAGGACTAGGTCAGTGTCACTAGCAATGTCGCATGATTGTGTGCAAGGGGTTGTAAACCGGGGTAAGAAACAGTAGACCAAGGGAGAAAAGGCCAACGGAAGTAGCGCGAGCGCGTGTTGCTACCGGTTACCGTCCTCTCCAAGTGAATTCAGACATGAGACAAGGACTTTCAGGGCGAAACATCACGCGGACAAGGTGCGTCTGATATTAACGATGTCCCAGCTGAGTCCTTCATTAGAACCTAATAGTTGCTTGGCTCTGCAAATGACAAGCATTTTACGGAACCCGAGGATTCATTGCCGTTTTCAGAAGAAGCCGTCGTTGGTCCCCGTTTTGAGCCGGAAAAATCCAGTCCAACCGACACTTTCTTGCAATCCTTTTAATATTATCCCCAGATTTACGCTTCCGTCTTCGTGCTATTCTCTTTCCTTTAGGTTTTCACACAAAAAGTTTTCATACACTTCTCTTTTCTCCCGCGAGTGCTTAGTTCTCTGCTCATTTAATCCTCAATGATCGTGCCTGTTAAAATAAGTTTTTCATACACAGACTTAAGTAAACTTGTTCAACACCTCCCATATACTCCTTACTTTAAGCACGATATTTCCTCGTCTTCCCCTAAATTTTATGTACTTACCTTCAATGTTGTACTGAGTTACCTTGTCTTCCGTTTGCCTCAAGTTTCCGCATTTAGACGTAGTTATAACCTAAGATTTCTCCATCTTATACTCTGTCCAGAAAATCTTCGAGGTCGCGTCAAGAGCGTCGACATTATTTTCTAACGTAAATATGTCACGGGTTTCGTGAAGGTTGCTATGAAGTTGTCTATCCTGTAAATAATGCACTCTCGGGACGACATACCGGAGGTCTCCTTGACCAAAATTCATTTTTCGTCCATTGCCCTCTCAATGTATGACGTACACGGAGAGATGTTCCAGACAGAGTATGCCTAAACTTAACCGAGATACTTCGTATTTCCGGCAGTAACCACATTTCACATGACATTTTGTCCCCTGTCTTTCTAAATGCGGTCTTCTCTTGTAGTCTGCAGTATAACGCATCAAACGTGCAGTTTGGCAATACCTTAGTCCTGCTTATTGCCCAGATATTTCGAGGGGGACTTGAATCCAAAAATATTGTTCTTTATACGACATCTTCTGTTGAGAAATGAATCGCTTGATTGGAAACATTGCAGCGCACCAATTCAGGTGAAAGTATTCACATCGCTTAGCTGCGTTGGCTACTCTGTTTTCCCCACTACATTCCGGGCCTCAGTGGCGGAAGGGTAGACACAATTAGTTGCGTCCGTAGAAGCTGGGCAGCCGATCAATCGGGGTTCGATTTCGAACTAGAGGAGGAGATTTTGTCTTCTCCAGGGTCTCCTTTCCAACAGGTACCCCGCGGGAAGACTGTCCGTGACTGAAGCTGATCATCCACCATTTTACTTCTCCATACATCTTTGTGATGTGCTGTTACAGGTGAGGTAAAAGGTAAAGCCAATCCTGTAACAGACCGTGAAGTCCCATAAGGTTGTGAGACGTCGAGGCTCTCACATTTTCTAGACAATCGGCTCACAGATGGCGGTGAAGTTGTCAGCGTTACGCGCCGGCAGCCCTTACCCACAGGAAGATTCCTGGTACCCACTTCTGATAGAGGCTGAGTCGACCCCAGGGCCATAGTGCGGCTGGAAGGATTTGCCGAATTGAAAGATCTAATGACAGAGACAGCTTGAACTTCGAAGTGTACGGTCTTCCGGGTAGGAACGTTGTTGGAAGAGCATCTGATACGTTTCTGAGGAAAATATTGCCTCTGTCTTCAGGATCGAAGTGTGATCCAGAGAAGCCAGCCGAAGCAGGCGGCTAGCTGATCCCTCCGGTAGCTACGCCGTCGGCCACAAGAATCCCAGGTCCAACTATCCTGTATCATTTCTGTTGTGTTGCGTACGGCACGGTTTTAAAATATTCTCGTGACACAGATTGCGAACCAGTCTGTTTCCTGTGGCACCTGGCTGAAGCGGGGGAGGGGGTCCAATATTAATAAACTTGGACCGGAGAGAGAAGCGGTACCAGAATGGCCTCAAGATGCGCGATGTGACCGCGACGCAAGAGCCGAGTCAAGGTTACGACCAATTCTGGAAGTTGTAAAGCTGAGGGTTTTACACAGCAGTGGAGAGATCCTCGCTGTCCTGGGTGCTTATGGAAAACCCACGGCAGTTCTTTATACGTGTGTATATCTTGTATCTAAACTGAAAACACTGACTCCTGTAGTGTTGTATGACGCACGTGTCTACAAGAGCAAATTCATCCACTCTACACTTTATGCCCCAGTAAAGTTGTCCTTGTGCTTAGTTAAACATCACACCATGTACATGTATTGGGAAATGGAGGTACAGTTAGCTAATGTAATCTTAGAGCTTGACCTTTTGATCAGTAACCGTTGATTTGAGAATTAAAGAGGATCGAAGACGGGGTATGTATTGGATATTGGATTTATTGACCATTTGTATACACCACTCTGCACTATAATTTACGATCGCTGACACAGACTAGTGTCACACTAGCCGTTTCCTGGCAGTGGCTTTGAACACACGGACTCTAATTCTCTGAGTTACACACTCCTAATATCACACATAAAGTCTTCTCTTCACAGCCTCCTGTACAGCTCTCAACCCTGAACTACCTGGGTCCCAGGTTGGCGGCCATTTCATACGAACCAGCTACTTCACGTCGCTTCACTCAACTGAATTGACAACTGACTGCGGAACTCTACTGACCCTGCAGCACGAACCACATAGAAAACACCGTTTCCGTTGTTATACTCCAACAATATCTCGGTTGTTGCCGCGGAAACTCGTTGCCTAGCGATAGCCCAGGTATTATT